TCAGTCGACGATCCATGGGGGCACACCACTGACTGTTGAGCACTCCAGAGAGTCTCACGGTAGTCTTTCGGGTTGGGCACTCCAGTCTCACGGTAGTCTCTGATTTGGGCACTCCGGGGAGACGGTAGTCTTTGGGGGTGGGCACTCCAGGAGTCTCTGGAGGTTCTCTCAGCGGGCGAGGAGCGGGAGTAATAGCTGACTTTAAAATCTAACAACACATCACCGAGGATGGGGAACAAGGTCGGCCGAACACCTCAAACGGAGATGTTGGCTGGCGGACCCCAATACGTTGGTTACCAATCCCAACACCCTGAAACGAAGTGTTTGGAAAACAGGGAATGGTGTACAAGGAATGTTGGTTCTTGCTTGGCTGCAAAGCCTAAGCGTGCCCATAATAAACCATTAAAGGAGCTTGCGCAACCCCGAATGTACAAGAAAAACTATGTTGGCTGGGAAACCCCAAAACCTAGGAGACGTAGAAGGAGATGGTGGTTGGCAAAGTCCAAACCCTAAACGAACATGCAGGCTGACTCCAAAAAACGAGAAAAGATGTTGCTTGCCACACCCCGTGGCTTGCAAAACCTGAGGACTAAACGACGCCCATACCGAAATGTTGTTTCACAAACCCTGAGAGAAAAATCCGCGACAACCTAAACTCTTTGGTCCGGAAACCCCAATTGTGAAAGGAAATGCTGCTTGCCCAGCACCCCGCGCCGGGAAGGCAACTCCAAATAAACCACCAAAGAAGATGTTGGCTGGCAAACTGTGGTTGCAACCCCCGAAAGCCGCGAGTTCGTCTCCGACTGTGAAAGCGAAGGTTAACGTCGTAAACGCTCTAGGACTCGTCAATTGCCACGATCTTGCAGATTGACTGGAAGCCGGGGTTATGGATCTTAGTGGTTGGCGTCGCTGCCAGACCCTCTTGCTAATCTGCCTGCTAGTGTCTGCAAGCGTTCCTGCTTCTCCAGGGACAACTCTCTCCATGCTGCTACTGCATCTGCAAAACACGTCGCGCCACCGCTGGGAGGTGCCTGGCGGCAGAACAGTGCAGTGCCTGCCAGAAGAGACATGCAGGAAGAGGGACACCGCCTGCATCACCCCCTTTGCATGTCTTCGTTGATCACAATAACCGTGTGTTGCCTTCATGTTATCAACTTTGGCCACTTGGCCGCAACCCCTCCAGAGGCAAAGGAACAACTTGTCCAAGGTGTAAAGAACTGGTCTGGACATGTCTGGACCCTCACTCATCTCCGCTGCAAGTGCGATCTCCGGAAGACCCACATGGCCTGGCCTGCTTCTGGCGTCTCTTTGAAAGTGCCATCTGTATGCCAAACTGGCAACCGCTCTTTGGGACGGTATTGGCAGGAGCCATTCTCGGCCAGAATTTCGTCCTGCACCAGCTGCAAGTTTGCTATTTCGCCTATAGTTGGTCACTGCCGCAGTTCTTCCTTTGACGACGACGGCTGGGAGACCAGGTTGCCCGCTTCATCACGGACATTCCCGATTCGGAGTACAGCATTGCCTGGACTCACGCTCAAGCCTAGGGCTGCTACAGTGTTCAGTATGTGCACAACACTTGTCACGGGAATCTCTGCATGATGGGATTGAAAGCCAAAAGCCTAGGACGAAAGGTCTATCTCGCATGCAGAAATTACGTTGATGCAGAGATTACGTGGGTTTGCCGACGTCGCCAAATCCCTGACCAAATAAAGCTTTTGCCCACACTCCAGAAACGGTGGGTAGACCCTAAGGCCGGACATCCTAGCAATGAAAAGCTTCCTCAAAAATGGCTCGATGAACATGAGCTTTTGCCAGTATCGTGAGGAGTGGTTGCTCTCGGAAAAATTGAGAAAAAGATGAACTGATCTTGCAAAGCGATGAAGGTGCCAGCTAATTTGCGGACGTTTCTCGGAAAAACACGACCAATTTAAAATGAGCTGACAAAGAGGCCGTCCCCTGAGGGGTTCGCTTGTGCCCCTTTGCTCTTCGTGTTGGGTCCGCCAGTTAGGGTCATCGGCTCTGGTAGCACGTTCCTGCGGGGTTGACTCTTTAGGGTTCTCATCTCTTTAAGTTTTTCGGCTTCCGGTGCAAAGCTTCAACTTGGGTTCACTCCTTGGGTTTTGGCTCGTTAAACTTTTTGGCTTCCAGCGCACAAGCAAGGTTCAGATTTTTCGGTTCTGCGGGTGAGGTTGCTGGGTTCGTTCCTTAGCGTTTTCGTCTCCTTAAAGTTTTCGACTCCAGTGTGCGGTTCCTGCTGGACCCCTTTGGGCTTGCGTTGCCTGAGGGCCATCGGCTCCGGTGCAAGGTTGCTGGGCACACTCCGTAAGGCGTTCGTTTTGGGTTCAGAGCTGGGCTTCTGCTTTGGGGTTTTTGCAAGGGTTATTGGCTTCCGGTTCGGGGTCGGGACTGGGTTCGTTCCTGAAGGCTTCATTATTTCAAGGTTCTTGGCTCACGCTTCCGGCTTTGACGTCAAAAAAACTTCTACAAGTCTACGAAACCCTTCGCATCCGCTCCGTATTTTGCAGCCTGCGTGAGGGGACATGGTCTCGAGTCTGGTGAGAAGCCTTTGACACACAGAATGTATTAACACTAATAAAAACCACCTCCCAGCTCCTCTGCGGAAATGTATGTCCAAAGATCTGATGTCACATCAAACGCATGTCACACATGCAGCCCCGAGTACCATGAAAAGGAAGACTGGTCCACAGGAGATCGGGGTCTCAAAATGGCGGGTGGGAGAAAAGAGTGTACCAGCCCGCCAGTTTGGCTCGAGCTGATGATGCATGCACACCCTAGCATGGAACACTCGATGCATGTATACATGTCCAAACGAACCTCTACAGGTATACGAAGCACTCCGCATTCGCTCCGTACAACGGGCATGATCTCGAGGCTAGTGAGAAAAGCCTTTGACACACAGAGGCACAGAGGGTGTTAGCATTGGTAAAACCGGGTACCTCCCCGGGTCCTCTGCGGAAACGTAAGTCCAGACATCTGATGTCACATCAAAGGACCAACTATTTCTCCCGATGCACTACTTCCCAAAGCACTCCAGTAGAGAAACTCCCTGACTTGGCGCCTCCTCGCAGAGGCGAGTCGTGGAAGTAGGAGGATGAAGTCACAGTAAGTGCCAGCCGGCGAAGGCCGATTCGCTAAATCTGCTAATCCTTGTGCCACCAAACGACCAACGCTGCACGCTTCATCGGACAAAGCGCGGGGCCAATCCTTCCCCCCACATTCCAGGGAGTCACTCTCCCTGGCCACGGCCATGTCCTCTGGCAACACTCTTGCCACGATGCTGACCACGCTTGTTTGACAGTTCGACTCAGTTCGGCTCTCCGGAAGAGTCGGATTGACCGCCGACATCCGCGTTGTCGATAATGAATTGTTTGCTTGCCAGAAGAATGAGCCTGTAGGGCTAAGCAACGCCTCTTTGGTAGGGGCGAGAGCTGAAGCCGTTCTCGCTGTCCTTAGTCGACTGTTGCAGAAGGAAGTCATCATCGCGAGAGGGCCCAACCGCTCCAACATCCGACCAGTGTGCTTTCCAAACGCCGAGCACTTCTTCCGTGGTCACCGGAAACGTCGGGATCTGAAGGAAAAGACCATAGCATGGTACGGCCGGCAACCCGGCAATGAGCGAGAAAGGAGCGATGTCCGGCCAGCAGAAGAGCACGACCAATAGCGCCACCAGACCGATGTCCCTGGCTGCCGTCACGTGGCGCAGGGCTGGCGCCTGGTATCGGAACAGGTGTTTGTCCAATCCCGAACACCGGTGCTTAAGTTCCCTGACTGCTCCTTGACGGTAGGCACGAAGTTTGGTGTGATGCTGCTCAGTCGGGGGTGGCGTCCGTAGCCGAGAGAGAGCTTGCTTGAAGCGCTGGTCGCCACGCCGCCCGCTGTTTAAGGGCTCCCGTCTCGCGGAGCCAACGCCGAATGGTAAGGTCATCGACACAAGGGAACTTGTATCCCTGCAACCAGTCTTCGGGAAAGAGTTCACGCACGGTCACGAAAACATCTGCCGGAGAAAGTCGGAGAATACAAACGACGCGCGGGCCAAAGGTGCAACAGCTAATCCCAGCGCCTTGGGGAAAAGCCACCGCGGCCGTTTTGTTGCCCCGTTTTGGGCGGACGCGCCGAAGCAAAAACCCATCGAAAGGACAATCATGACCGGCCAGCGTTGGTGTCTGCAGTGCCCGTGTCCCACGTAGATGTGCCCCTCACACAATGAGCCAGAACCCTGCAAAGCCGCGCCGCTTTCCTCGCAGGGATCCTCGCCGACTCATGTGGGCACGGCGGGTTCAGCACCAAGGAGATCGCCACAAGAGCAAGTGCGCAATACCGATGACCGAAGAGCTTGAGGGTCCAGGGATCCCACAATGGAGCGCTTGGCACGGTAAAAATATTCCATCAACACGTCAAAGGGTGCATGCATAACTTGGGTCGTGTCTGCACCTGGCAACCGGGCCGCCGGCCACCTCTTGTGGTGAGAAGGATCTGGAGCCGACACAAGTAAGATTCCCGATCCCTGGAACCGTCTCCTCCAACTCTTGGTCCTCGGTACAGAGGTTGTCATCCAGCTTGCGCTTCTTGCTAGCGCTCACCAACTGAAAACTCTTGTTATCTCTTCCAGACACTGAAGACACCGAGCATCCTCTTTTCAACCCTCGCGTCACTCGCGCAAGAGTCGAATCGCGGGGATAAAACGCCGGTGAAAAGCGGGGCTTTGTACCTGCGCCGAAACTGCTGCTTCATGTCCCTAAGGTCCGCGTCATCGAGCAGATCATCCAAATCTGACTTACGGACCTTGGCCCTCCCTGCGTCTGTGTGCTGAAAGAAAACTTTAACAGCTACCCAAGTAGCCATCGCTGGGGTCGACTATCAGGCGGTGGTACTCTGCAGGCAATCCGGGCAAAAGCGATCGAATCCTTGAGCCTCCTTCATGGTATCAGCCTCCGTCTAGTCAGCTTCCGTGTGACCAAGGCCTGCTGGCCCGTTGCTGCCCGATGCCTCCCTCGACGCAGACCCCCCTGTGTAGGGAGTCTGCCGGATAACTGGCCAAGCTTCGCGCCATCCGTGTGATGCTGTGAAACTGGGAAGGCCGCCACGACTCGTCACCGTCACCGACTCCTTCATCCAGTCCACCGGAAGATCGCAGGCAAGGAACACATGGGAGGCGGCTGCAGTAGGAAGGTGTAGGAAGGTCGAAGAGGGAAAGTTCCTGTCGCGAGCTAAACTCGCCTCGCTGCCAGCTCCTGCGCGCAGCCAAGATTTCGTGGGTACGGACACTTTCGTAGCCATGCAAGCGCCTCTCGTGATGCGAAGGGGCTAGCTAAGACCCTCAGCCGGCAAGACACGGACCCGACTCCACGGGCCCAACCACGGAAACTGGAAACGCCGGATATTTTCGGAATACCTACGGCAAGAGCTGTCCTTGCAAACGTACCTGCGGGGGATTTCTCCGGAACCAAATTGCAGGCCTGCCAAGACGACATCTGGGACAGGGAGGTGTGTGAATTCGCACACGGCCGACCACAAGCCAGAACTCACTCGTCCTGCCTTCCATGTCAAGCCTGTTCATCTACCCCCGAAAGTTCTGCTGGTTTTCCGAAGACAAAATCGGCCTGGTATTAGTATGAACGACACACACGTCGACATCCTGAGGCTGAGCATCCATGCTCACACAGGGGGTCACTCCCCGAGAAAAAAAATGTACCAGCTCGCCAGTTTGGCTCTAGCTGAAGTCTTAAGCCAAAATGTTACGAGGCAGGTACATAGTTCGCTCAATAATAATGCATGCACACCCTAGCCTGCCAAACTCGATGCATGTATAATATGCAGAGGCAGCAGACGAGCCTGGTTCTGCCCCCGATTACTGTTTGGGGACTGCATTTATCGGAACAGATTTGGACGCGTCGTCGCGTTAGGGGCAAAAACATCACACACCGGTGTGTCTAACTGTCCATGGCCTGGGCCGAGAGATGCATGAGCTCGACCTGCGCAGCATCGCCATTTGCCACTTCGTGCATACAAAGTCGATTCTGACCAGCGCTGTTGTATGGCCTGTATGCTGCAAGCTTCAAGTAATGAAAATCTGTTGAGGATGCGATGCGAATCTGAATTTGTCGATGCAAGATGACCGGAGCCCCTGGCCTGCAGGCACAGGTCCCAATGGGCCAAAGTGAGCGCTGAGGGTCACCAGGTCATGCGGCGTGAGGTCCTCAAGGCCACGAATCACAAGCCTCAGTGAGAGCTGAGACGCGAGAGAAATCGTGAGAATGCATGAAACCGACCGATCAGGGCCCGGACAGTCGCCTCTCGATCCACTTGCTGCGCAAGACTCGGCCCACGTCCGGAGAGTGTATTGCTGCTTTGGATGGGACGGTTATAAGCGTCCCGAAACTATCCTGGAGATTCCTGAGGCTCAACCGCTTCGCACAGAAGACACCAGTTGGAGTGCACTTCAGCAAACCCAGTGCATCTCTGTCGCGTTTCCGTTAGCGACAACTGCGAAGCAGGCATTGCATAGCATCGCCGAAGGAGCGTCGGACTCTGCAAAGGCCTGCCCAAACCAGTCGTGTTGCTGACACAAGCGGGCGCTGATGGGCGCTGAACGCATCTGAACGCAGTCTCTCCACTCTTGTGTCTCAAGGAGGTCGATCCCCATACTCTTTCCTGCGAGCTGCCTTCGCAAGATTGGAGCTGGAAAGGCCATGATCACGAAAAGTGATGCTGCAGTGCTGCCAAGGGGTCTGCAGGTGCGGCTTGCGGTTTCAGATTTGGCGTTGGGATTTACGGCAAATACTGATCCTGACTGAAAGTCTTCTACCCAGAGTCCCGCAGATTCGCACTTCTCCGGGTTTGGAGCTCTCGGTTGCACTCGCCCAAGCTTCAATGCGCATGGCGAACTCCTTGAGTCTTTTACTCCAGCAGCTGTCTGGTCTGCGGAAGAGTCACCGATGCAACGCCCGAGGGCTACCATCTTGCATTTCAGCGGCCTGCCTATCTGTGGAAGATTCTCTCACTTTGACCAGCCTTGCGCATGGATGGTACAGGGCCGCTGAGAAATCGCAGAGGCAACCAAGGCTCCAGCACCAGCAACGCTCAGGACTCTACGCTCGCAGTCCTAGTGCACTGCAGTGCAGACAGCTGGATGTTGAACGCTTCGCACATCTTCGCACCTCCGCGAGCGACGATGGACGCGTACTTTTCGATGGCCGGGCTGAGCATCGCAGTGGCTTGGTGACACGCCTTGGAGCTCCGAGATCCCACAAATCCGAAGCCGAAGTCCCCAAACAGATCCCCCCCATGTGACGGCTTGTTACACGATGTTTCACGTCTAACAGCGGCCCAGAAGCCAGCGCAGGAGTTGCAGCGATCCTCCTCCGAGCAGAGAGGACGAAGGGCCAAAGCAAGGCAGAAGAAACTGAGCTGTCCTTGCCACTTCCGCCGCTGCCTTTTTGGTGTCTTCATCTCCTGCCGGTACCGGAAATCGACGCTAGCATAGCGTAAAACATCTTGGCACAAAGAATGTAGGTGTTGTCAAAGGTTCAGCGCAGTCTATTCCCACGTGTACTGTCTTCGCACTTATAGACCGTTGCTTGTGAATCACAAACTGGCAGCAAGTGTCTGTAGGTCTTTTGAGTGACAGCTGGTGGCGGCTGCGCGGCTTTACACATTCGGCCCAAAAATCCTTCCACGGCCTGTCTGGGAGCTTCTCGCTGGATCCCGTTTTTGCAGCGCAGTGTTTCACTAACGTGGCAGCATGATACGGGTTCTGAGTGCATGGGCTGTTTGTTTAATTTCCAGTCACGAAGCAGGTCTGTGACATGAACCCATGAATTCTTCTAGCGAATCTGAGCTGCTGTCGCGGTGATGTGGGAACCTGAGAGGAATTTGCACAGTCTCATTGCTGAAAGATCTTGGAAAGACTTGGGACACCCGCAAAAAACAGTTCTCTCCTCAGCTGTCAGAAATGAAGCACATGCAGGGCCGGACTTGGCAGTTTCTGGGAGTGCCTTCAAATAACAAGCTGCCTGCTGGAGAGATGAAACTTAAATGAAACATCACGTGCTTGCCCTGTCTACCTAGCAAACATGCGAACGTGCGCAAAGCTGAGGCGCTCGTTGTGACACCATGTGATGCCGCACTAGCAGGGACGCCCAAGATCAGGAAAGCATGCTCGCAACGGAGTCGGGCGGTTGCTGCTAGAACCTGGCTGGGATGCCCGCGCCGTTGGCCTGTCTGCGTCTCGTGCGCGTCTCTGTTTTCGTTTCGCCCGGTATGTCGTGCGCTGTGCTTGCTTGCATCTAAGTTTGCCAGGTGTCCAAGAGTCTAGCCGGTCTAACTGCAGATTTTCTCAGAATGTCCTTCGTGATAATGAGAACGCTCACACACGAGCTGCCCCAAGCTAGGCGAGTCCTCGTTGGCACTGGTGGATAACGCCGTACTCGAGCATGGATAAGGCATTGACCTGTGACATAATAAAAGCTGTAGCAGGCTGTAGCACACGCAGCATCATCCTACTTACAGGACGTCTTACAAACTTCCTTACTGTAAGGTTAACGTCAGCCTACGGCGAAATCTATAGACTGCCGTTCTTGCGTCCAAGCAGCAGGTCCCTGATTGTAGCAGAGTTGCATGGCTACCTTACAAGTTCGGAAACTCAAAAGCATGCCTCGCATTGGTGGAACTGAGGCTGCAGCCGTGTGCCCAACCAAGTCTCCGAAGCATTCAGGAGGTCCCCAGATGGGCAGGATGAAGCTGGAAGTTGCCGAGGCCTAGGCTTTGCACATGCAGATATTGGGGCCGGGCCCGGAAGCGGAAGCAGAGATCCTGGGCTCCAGCGATGCGGTAGTCCTCACAGCCAGATGCTCGAAAGCAAGCGGGGGCCCCTCTCAGCCCCCTCCCGCTCGACAGCGATAGCCGACCACAAGACTTGACGGTTCTGTCCGCAGCCAGCACCAAACCCCAGGCCGGCCCAGCGACCTTTCCACAGCAGGCAGCCACCTTGCATTGCAACGGGCAGGCCATTGCTCCAAATAGTGGTTGCACTGTCAAGATGCGTATGGTTTCGACTTTGCATGGCAAAGAATCAGTTCGACATGCGAGTTCGCTGTATGAGACAACCGGGTCGTGCTGTTTTGGCACACAAGTCGGGAGACTGCCCTCCCAATACTTCGGCGGCTCGCGTCCCTAGCACTCCCAACTCCACGAACATTGAATGCGGATGTGTTTTTTGCTCAGTCTGCTATAGTCTGCCACGGTTTTGGCCATTTTCTAGCCGACAAGATAAAGTTGGAGGCTGACTGAAAGTCTAGCAGTGTTAGCGTTGTGGCGAGCCGTGCAAGTGGGGGTTGATTGGCCGTTTAACCCTGTCACTTGCCTCAAACACTCATGAGAACATATTGAGCAAGCTCTCTGGATGTCGGGACATTCGCTCAGGCTGCCACCCGGCAAACTCATTCCGTATTGTATCAATCCTGAGGCCTGCACACAGGGCAACCCCAGCGTGCGCAAGCCGAGGAGGAAGGTGCCGCTTGCCACTGCCTGTGCAGGAGCTCACGGGCGAGTCCCTTCAATAGTATAAACAGCATCCTCCTCGCCGCCAGCGACCCTTTCCGACAAGTTCTGTTTTCATCAAAAGCCCGGGATGGTCGGTGAAGATGTTGCTTGCTCTGTCAGCTGCATCTCGCCCGCCGCCCCTCCCGCAACGCTACCCCAGCTGCAAGGTGGATTTACATGCATGGTGTGCATGAAACTTGCCTTGAGCAAGTCAATACACATTCCAGAACGGCCCTGCTCAAGAGGCTTGATAAATCTGCTGGAATTCGAAATGTAATAAAACGGATCCTCTGCGTCGTCGACAGTCGGCGAAACCCAGCTCTCCATTGGGATCTACTTGGCTCAGCCACACGAAATGTCCCCTTTTGTGCACTGCAAAATACACGGACAAACGCGTCCGCTCTTCGGCTGGATGCAGGAAGACTTGTCCGTGACTTCCCCGGTCAAGCCAGTTACGTACAAAGTCTGCGTGGATAGAGTGACACGGTAGCCAGCGAAACACTGACTGCGCACTTATCGGGAGCAGTGAAGGGACGGAGTCTGCGCTTGATTGTGGAGTTCGGCTGCAGTTAGGGTAAGCAAAACGAACACGAGCTGAAAGTCTGAGTTGCATCGCGAGGCATAGTCTTACAGACGGGGCTGGGGCCTGCTGCTGTGGCTGTGCTCAGTGGCTGGATTCGAAACTCAACGACAAGTCTTGCTCTGACCCAGAATGTGAGAATCCACCAACTTCAGCAGGGTCAACCCTTCCTGCTGTACTTCCCGGCGTGCGTCACCTGATTCGAGCTGAAAATGTTGAAGTGTACACTCCGCGTCGAACAGCAACTTGCACCTGCGGCTCCTCGACTTTATGACTTCTTATCAGTTCCAGGCAGCGAAGCTCTTTACGTCAACCGATGTTGCATCAGTTCTGTCCACACAAAATCGCATGTCTCGGTGAGAACTCATCAAATCATCTCGCCATAGTATTATAAGTGCTCAACAAATTCTAGCACGAATGAGCCTTGAAAGAAATCCATCATTCACTCAACTTTCGTTTGTTATTTCTCATCGCCATTGCGCAGATTTTGGTGCCCGATGACGCGAGTATCTGGCTCATGAATGCTGCGCGGCGCGATGCGCAAAGCGCGAGGCCAACCTACAAAAACCTTTGCCCACCCTGCAGATATTACACGTTTTGTTGGGATATACGGCGAACTGCTATGCCTTGGCACGGGAAGCTCGAATATGGGACATAGGCCATAGAATTCAATTGAGGGTTAGTTCACGACTCTTCTCCTGAGGGTATGCGATCTCTTTTCACAGCCTGGTAAGCTGCAGCAAGGGGAAGCACTAGAACCGGGGCAAATCTTTTTGTGTTGCCAAGAAAACACGGATGCAGCCAAAACATACACGGCTCAGTATGAACTGCTTCCACTCTGCTCGTCCAAATGTCGCTGCCTGCGTCTGTGGTGCCACGCCAAGGGCTGGTCCCGAAGGATTCACCGGACCCTGGCCGGAGAGTCGGATCAAACTTGCGTGAAAATGCATCCGCCTTCCCTCCAGCCTTCGATCCTTGAAGGATCAGCACCACAGCCTAGTCACAGGGTCTGCTCACAATCAAAATTCCTGGACGCCCGTGGTTCACTCGGGAGGAGTTCGTGGAAGATACTGCGTGAAACAGCATAACAGGTCAGTGAGACTACAGTGACTACAACATCACGCAGTGCTTGTGACGGGCCTGAATTATGGTAGGTATTCCTCCGGTCGTTTCGGTGCTTGGGTGGGAGTGGTGCAGGAGGTTGGACAAACAGGGATAAATAGCTCAGTGCCAGCGGATGGCAGGATCTGCTAGAGAAATGGAATCTTCCCCTTGCTGGAACCACAACAAAAGGTCACCACCACACTCTTGTGCTCCTTTCCGGTCTATGTCTGGGGCCTGCTGAGAGGGCGATCCTTCACTCCACTTGAGATCTGATTTGGAACTTTGAGGCTTTCCGAATCAGCACTCCAAGTAACTTTCGGTCGGTTGTTTGCTGCTTCTTGCAGTTTGCGCACAGCCGAAAGCGATCTCTCTGGCCACACACCGTGGAGGAAGGCCATGTGGCCATGCACCGCCAGTCAGATCACAGGCTCCCCCGCCAAACGAAACATTCTTGGAAACATTTTAGGGCCTAGATGGTGGTAGATGCTGTCGTCTGTCTATGGTCCTCCGCGACGGTGCCCTGGGCGCTGAGCCTCTGCTTCTATTGTTTCGCATGCTCGTGCAGCAGCTTCAGATAGCTTCAGCAGGTAGGGCACGGTCTCCTCCAGGTCGTCTTTGCCGTAACATGTCACCTTTGATACTTTCTCCCAGGCCACCCGTTATCACGAAAGACTCACTCTGCGGATACGCGACTCAAGGACTGCAGGGATTCTGCAAGGCCCCTCTTGCACCAATAGAGCTACAGTACTTGAGCCAAAATGGTTCCCTTCTCTTCCTTGCTTCCTTCATTCCTTCCTCATCGGGGTATCCGGACCACCGCATTAAACCCTCCTCTCCCTGTCTGGTCTTGCCGGGCTCTCTTCTTCCTCTTGCAGGCTTTAAGGAGGGTGCGCCGTAGGTCCCTCGCGTGCGTCAAAGCCACATTAAGGCCTTCTTAAAGCCATATCAAAGCCATAAAAAGGCCACATGCCATATTACGGCCTTATTAAAGCCCATAATTACAGCCTTATTAGATCTTATTAGAGCCTAACTTTGCCAAGGAATTGTTATAGGTCTTAGCAAGGCTTGTTTGTTTGCTTGCGAGGGTTACGGGGAGCATGCTCCCTGGCCAAAGGCCGTTGATGGGTATGCAGCTTCCCCACACGTACTCCTTTTTGCTTTGCTTTGCTTTGCTCGGCTGTAATGATCTGAGTGCCAGGTCTGTCCCAGAAACCCGACGTTCGCACCCGATAAACGACACGTAAACACCAGTCATCGGAAACACATGCCCCGGATTCACAGCCCCGGTAATCTTATGTCACTCCTGGGCACACCTCTCGTATTATCTTGTGTTCGCGTGCAGGGCCTCCAGTCCTCCAGTTCCCGCTCTTCTGTCCGAGCTCGTGCCCTGCAGGCTCTCTCTAGCCTTCTAGCTGCTGAGGTGGATGACAAGGTGGTTGTGGACCATAAACTGCAAAGTTTCATTCTAGTTGTCGTTGAATGTTCGGGGGCTCTGCTCTCGCTCTAGCTCCGTCTTGGCTTGGTGGTGGCTGTTGGTCTTTGTCTTTATGTGCTCGTGCCCGTGTTGGGCCTGGTGGTCCCCGTCGCTTATTAGCGATTGCTTCCCTGGGTTGAGTGCTGGCCTCCGGCTCCTGGGGATGCCCCAACCCATGCACCTGGGACATCTGCGGAATCCATCCCTCATCCGATGGAGAGGGTTATCCTCCTTTGCTGTGGGGCAGTCTGCCACTCCTCTCTGCTCTCTTCTTCTACACAGCCAAAGGAGAGCGAGTTCCCCCGCTCCCACCGCACGGGCGCACTGGTCTCAAGGAATTATATATTGAACAATGTGAGTCTGCAATTTCGATGACGACCCCCCTTTGCTATTGCAAACGGAGTTAGCTAGGCATCCCGTTTGGTCTGGATCGTTACTGCTCCTACTGGTCCTACTGAGCAGATTCTGGGAGGTGCTCCGCACCTCCTGGTCCTGCACGTACAGTATGTGCATGTTTGCGGATGTACCTGAACCTCGATCACACCAAGTGCCGAAACTGAAACATAAGTCCTCCGTCTCCCCAAAAGGTTAAACATGTTCACATGTCGTCGAGCCGGCTATGACTTGATTTTAAGACGAACAAGATATAGGCGTTTGATACTGCTAGGTAATGTTCACACGCACCGGCTCGGTTTGGAAAGGAAGCTTTCTTTTGAAACGGCATGGTGTTTGAACGTGGGTACTTCGGAGGCATAGAAGTGCAGACACTCCGGAGTAGCTAGGGCCTCAAGCTTCCGGGCTGTCCCTCTGTCTTGCTTGGTCTCCTTCTCTGTGGGGCTGAGGTCCCCTTGGCCTCCTGACCTTCGAGCCACCCGCCTGCAAAGAGTCCCGGTCAAGTCAGACGTTGTGCTACTCGACGCGCAGGCTCGCCGAATGCAGTCACAGCTGCAGGAGACCACAGCAATCTATGAAGCAAGCCTACTCCCCCGGCAAAGCGTTGCTGGAGTTCAGCTACATTGGGAAAGGCAGAAACTGCGAAACCGCAGGCACCTGCCACGGTGCGCAAGTGTAGCAAGAATCTGTATCAGAAAGCTTCACTGCGCCGGTTTCACGAACTCTTCCCTCCCTCCCTCCCTCCCTC